GTGTTCAAAACCAAGTATAACTCTAATGGGACAGTGTCAAGGCATAAAGCTAGATTGGTTGCTAAAGGTTACACACAAATTCCAGGTATTGATTTTCATGAAATTTTCAGCTCAGTGGTTAAACCAGTGACAGTGAGGTTAGTTCTTTCTATAGCTTTGGCAAGAAATTGGAGCATCAGGCAACTAGATATTTATAATGCCTTTTTGCATGGCACTTTGGATGATTCCACTGAAATATACATGGCTGAGCCACCTGGCTTTGAACAGCATCCTGGAGAACCTTATGCTTGCAAACTCAATAAAGCCATTTATGGTCTCAAACAAGCCTCCAAAACTTGGTTTGACAAACTCAAGATGGTTCTTGGAAAGTTGGGTTTCACCTCCTCTCTTGCTGATGCATCTCTTTTTGTTAGGAAATCCTCCACATCCATCACTTATCTCATTGTCTATGTGGATGATATAGTGATTACAGGGAGCTCTCCTCTTGAGGTTCAAAATGTGATTCATTCACTATCCCAGAATTTCCCTCTCAAAGATCTTGGTGTCCTACACAATTTTCTGGGCATAGAGATTTCTTATACCAAAGAAGGCATGCTTCTCACTCAGCAATCCTACATTCAACAAATCCTCAAAAAGGCTGACATGCAAGGCTCAAAGGGACAATCCACTCCAATGGTTTCATCACCTGCATTATCCAAATTCAATGGCTCTCCTTTTGCAGATGGCCTGCTGTATAGGCAATTGATTGGGAGTCTGCAATACCTTACCATCTCTAGACCTGACATTACTTTTTCTGTTAACAAATTGAGCCAATTCATGCAGTCCCCCCTCGATTCTCACTGGAAATCAGTGAAAAGGTTGCTCAGATACTTATCAGGCACCTCAGAGTTTGGCCTGCACCTTGTGAAATCTCCACACCTCAATATCTCAGCCTTTTCAGATTCGGATTGGGCTAGTGATCCTGATGATCGTAAATCTACTTCCGGTCATTGTGTTTTTGTTGGCCGAAATTTAATCTCATGGAGTTCAAAGAAACAACACACAGTTTCCCGGAGTAGCACAGAGGCCGAGTATCGCAACTTAGGTCATGCGGTCTCAGACGTTTTATGGATCAAAACTTTGCTTCAAGAGCTTCATGTGCCACAGTCTTCTTCACCCACTATTTGGGTGGACAATCTCAGTGCTGTCTTCATGTCCTGCAATCCGGTCATACAAGGTCGCACCAAGCATATCGAGGTTGATCTTCACTTTATTCGAGAGAAGGTGCTCAATAAGTCCATCTCTGTTCTACACATCCCAGCAATGGATCAAGCAGCCGACATTCTTACCA